CTACCATAAATTATTTCTGAATCATACATATTGAGAATTATAGTTATATATTATAACAAGGTTGTTAATTGCTCACATCTACTTCATTTGGTCTCTGATGGATAGTTGTCTTATTGGCAATCATACCACATCTCCTTACTTTATAGAGTCCCAATGGTGAGGTAAATTGTAATTCTACAAAAAAAATCTTCAAAGTTTTATGAAGAAAAACAAAACAAAACATGACCATAAACTAGACTGAATCCTTGTTGAATCAAGTGCGCTTGTAAGGCACTAAAGGGTAAATATTGCTTTAATATATCAGTGGGAAGTAAAATTAAATATTACATTGTACAAAGCATTGGTTGTAGTTGGTTCAACTAAAGTTCTAGACAAAGGAAGATAACTCCAATTTTTAAAGATGACTTTAACTATGACATCATTGATATTTTTAGAACAGATACTAGATTCCTGCACCTTGCAAAAGTTATGTAACAAACTTGACAAGTATAACATCATCTTGTAACTTGAATATCTGAGCATATCTTTCATTGATAAATTTCTGGATATGTTCATGGATAGGATGTATAGAATTTTATGATCAATGCACTATACCTTGAAAGATTTAGATATCAAGTCAGTACCATAGGGTTTTGATCGAATTTCATGCCATCTTTACCAAAAAAATCATAGAACAGTGGCAGCTATCTTTCACATAAAGTAAGAATTTCCTTGAATAAATCAAGATTCAATTAGAGAATATTTATAAAAAAATAAAGGTCATGTCAATTAAGAACAATAACTGAAGATATTAAGGAGTAAACTAACAACTTTCATCAATTTATTTTCTTGATATGCTTGTAGACCTTGTCTTGCTGCATAGTTTTTCTCTCCATCTGTTAAATTTTCAAGATAATTGCCAAAGAAATGTTAAAGTTGATTAAAAGTTGACTTTATGGGGGGAATATCTCCTATTAGTGTACATAAATTTTATTTTGCTGATCATCATTTCGTTTACAGTTTCTCTTCACATATTATAGTTTTTAGGAAAATTTTGTACGTCTTGATGAGAAGATAATGGAGAAATAATTAATATACATTAATATCATATGAGTAATTATTTGCCCTACAATTAACTTAAATGTGGCAATTTTTATAATTCCTTTCAACAGAATGTCCAGTTTTGCCAAATCTATACCAAAACATAATCTGACCATTTTAGAGGAACTTGTCATTTTTCTATTTTCACAAGATAATGAAATTTAAATATAATTATTTCCATATTTCATTAAAATTAAAATAATTAATCAAGGCTTAGAGAGATTTTTTGGAAACACTAATTACTGCAACAGACAAGTTTAATATAAGACATGTAAGACAATGATAATTCCTTTCTTCGTGATAATCTTTAGCAATACAAAACTTTCAATGCATTGTAAAATTATTTTTAAAACAGGGTATCATAAAGGCAAGATAGGTGAAATTGGTTTTACATGGATTATAAGGATTACAATAGATTGGAACTTTGTGATTAGGATCAATAAATCAAAATATGTCCATGCAGATTTTGTTAATGTCTATTAGTGCAGAATTACACAAACAAATTTCTTATTTCAACAATGTAAATTATACTTCAGATATGAGCCAGTCAGTCTAAATTATTATAAATATTTTGATCGGTAGATATCCTTTTCTTTTTGTTATCATCATGCTGTTGTTCACTCATACTAAAAATTGATGAAGAAATGGCAAAATCAGTTCAACCTCTGATAATAAAAAACAAACATCTTGAAAACAAAAATAAAATTAAAATGATCATGTAATCTGATAGGGCGTGACCTGACATGTAGTTGCGTGATCAACTCAGAACTGAAACGACATGAAACCTTTTGTAATATATCAATATAAACAAATACGGGTCTGCATGTTCGCCTTAGTAGCTCTTCATCTTAATACCTATTCGCCATGTGTTCGTTCTCCCTGATTCTTATTTTACTTGTTGTTTTGTTACATGGAGGAAGATTCACATAGTGTATAAGATGCACTAATTAGAACAGTTATGCCATAAGACCATAAGATTGAGGATTGTTGTATAATAAAATTTGAGTATGTAAAAGTGTGAAGTGAATGGACCCAGGATGAAAAGGACCTGATACTAATATATACTGAATACACTATACGCACTTTAAGTTAAAGATGAACCTTAGGCTCATTTTTCCTGTTTCTAAGCCTTGGTCAATTCACTTGAGACTATAAATAATCTGGGACTATTATACTAACGTAATATATTAGACCTAGCAAGGATTTGTGTAGTAAGACTACTATACAAATCCTTGGTCCTAGCAGAGACATATAGATACACATCTGGGTAAATATGTCTCTGGTCCTAGGAATAATCAGGTCAGGAATAACCATTAATTGGTGGATTATACCTCAATTCAGGTATAATCCGACATATAATGAGATACACCAGTTGAGGTATAATGCAGTTTTTACCACAGAAATTTTTAAAGAAATATTCGAGCATCTTTTTGCATATACCATCTTGAGCTTTGATGAGTTCTCATTGGTGACACGTAATTGCTTAGAACTGAATTCCTGTGCTGCATTTTAAGAAAATGAATGTGGATTATACCTCAATTGAGGTATAATCCACTAATTGATGGATACTGACAACTGGTTTCCTTAAGTCTGCATCATTTCAAACTATATGATTTGTTAGTCGAAATGGACAGGGACTACAGAACAAAAATAAGATTTAATATATGAAAACTCAGAATTTATAAGTAGGAAAAGGAGGTTCATAAGATAAGATAAGATAAGAAAAATTTATTTTGATTCAGCAAAAGTCAAATATCAACACAAGCTCTAAGGAGCTTTTGACCAAATATAAAAACATATAGATAACATAAAAACAGTTTAAGATATAAAAAAAAAAGCATGTAATACAAAGTTGAAACTCACACATCGTATGCAATAAAAAATTTAACAGCAAATTTAGAATGAGTTAAAGTATGTTTTACCTAGATTCAAAAGTTAAAATTTAGATTAAAAATATGGTTAACTATTCAAATAAATAGATTACTTTTATAAAATCAAATAAAAAGTTTGGAACTATAATATATGCCTCAACATCTAGAAATTTCAAAGAACAAAATATTTTTTAACATGTATTGATTACCCAATTTCTGGAAATATGTGTCAGTAACTAAAAATTTCAAATATATAAAAATACGTGAAGAAATACATCAATACAAGTTAAAGCAACTAAAAGCAACACAAATAATAAACAGCTCAAGAGCAGAACAGTGACATTCCAAACCGTTCCAGGACTGAACAAGACTTTTAAAATGTGAAAAACTAAAATGAAATGAAATGGTTTGGAAGGCTGTTCCATAAAGTTGCGTCAGCAAATTTGAAAGATTTTTTACCGTAACTGGTTGACTTTGACTTTCCCAGAATATTTTCATATCTGAAAGAATACTTAGATTTTTTAATACTGACCAAATTCTGTAATCATACAGGAGCTATATTGTTTATAATCTTGAAAGTTTCTAGTGCCGTTGTTCTTATCCGTCTGATCTGCAAGGAGTAAGTCCTCATAGGAGCTGCCAATATCCTTGTATACAAAAGTAACGGAGTGCTCTTTCCTGCACCTTTTCTAGCTTATTTGATTTTTTCTCTGTGCAAAAGTGCCATGCCAAAAGGCAAAATTTAAATTACGAAGAATAAATGTAATGAAAAATAGTAAGTTTACTAAGTCTGTGCAAAACAGAGCCCAAACGTTTTAAAACATTTAGTTACTGTGAGGCCCTCCTGCAGATCAAGCTGATATGAACATTAAAATTTAACTGATAGTCAATTTCAATGCCTAATAATTTAACTGTTTTTTTAACATGTAAGGTTCAAATTTTTTTCAAAGGTTTTTTGCCAACAGCCAAAACTTGAAACTTGTCGGGATTTGCTTGCATTTTATTCACCCGGAACCACTGAATAAGTATTTTTGACTCAGATTCCCAAGTTGAAATGTATTATTAATAAATCAAAATCTGGAGTGCAGAAAGACAGAGTATTGTCATCTGCATAGTTATATAAACTATCATTTTTAACAAAAAGAAAAATATCATTTATAAAAACATTAAACAACAATGGGCCTAGTATAGAACCCTGTGGTACGCCTTTATGGATGTCAGCCCAACCACTCAGAACATTGTTGACTTTTATTTGTTGTGTACAATTTGATAAATAGGACTTTAAAAGAGCAACTGAATGGGGGGATACACCATATGCTGATAATTTATCAAGCAAGATATTGTGAGGCAGGCAGTCAAAAGCCTTAGAAAGATCCATTAATACAGCTGCAATGTACTGGTTTTTATCAACTTTAAATGCAAAAAATTGCTCCAATGTCTCTTAAAATTTTTTTTGGAGAAAACTGCAGTATACCTCAATTGGTGTATCTCATTATATGTCAAATGGTGGATTATACCTGAATTGAGGTATAATCCACCAATTAATGATTATTCCTGACTTGATAATATATCAGGATACTTTTTCCATAATATATTTTTTGTTACAAAAACATAGTTGATCTTTTTTCCTTACTATCTTACATTCAAATGATGTGTTAGATAACGAGCAGTTTTGGTTAAATCTATCATTTCTCTGTCAATAAAAATACCACATTAATTTAATTACTCTGATATTTTTTGTCGATTAAGGCAACAGCTGTCAAATCTTGCAAAGTGAAAGTGAAACTTCATAGATTGTTTCCCCTTCATAAAATATAATTGACAACTAATGTATAGAATAAATTGTCTTAAAAAGTTGAGAATTTTTGCATGATAAGGGCAACCTACCATTAAATAATCTCAAACAAGTAGAAATAAAATATACATTAGCAAAATAAAGCTATCTCAAATCAACCAGAACGATACAGTGCATTATGAATCACGCTACATTTATTCTAGACTAAACTAACAAAAAAATTATCTACATTTTCTATGAGGGGAGATAATTGATACGCAAATTGCCTCGTTCCAATTTCTGGCGAAAATGTCGACCGACTACGAAAGTATCTTGTGTGTTAAAAATGAAGTTATGGTGTTTAAAATACCTCCGAGGCAATCAAACAGAGGTTACAGGTTCGATATTTGCAAATACGAAGAATATCTACATTACACTTCCATATTTTTTTTTAGATAAGTTCTAAAATATGATAGATGGGCGGATCACTAGACACTTAAAACCTGGTAGTGGTAACTAGTCCAAATAAATATGACACCTTGAAAGGCTATTTTAATTATTTATGTGACGGTTCCTACTTCTGGAAGGCGTCAGAAAAAAATAAATAAAATAGTCTTTAAAGACGTCATAATTTAATTATTTGGAAAATTAAAATAGCCTTTCAAGATTTCATAATCAGATTCAGGTTGGAGAGGATCCTCATAAATGGGTACTATCCTCATTAATGTGTATTATACCCCAAAACGGGTATCAATTTTAAGTGATACAAAATATAAACATTGGATTACAGTTGTTTTCTGTCATGGCGCAAACGTTCAGGTATTAAAACATATAAAAGGACAACATTTTGCCTTAAAGACACTATGACTGAAATATCATCAAGATAAAAGTGAGGCCATTATCTTTGTGTTCAGTTCTCATTGCAGTGATCGGGAAGGACGTGCGCCTTGCGCCAATTGCGCTTATCGACCAGAAATGGCGCATAGAGTGACAATTGTAAGCGCCCGCGTGGCGCATGATATTTTTCACTTCGTTTTGAAACGTTGAGATATCGTCAAATGGATTTCCGATAGTATTTCGTGCCGCCATGTGTGAGTACACAACTGTGTAGTGTTTACTCCAATGATAGGAGTACCTATATATTTTTGGGACGTCTCGGGTGTTTTCCTATGGTAATAATAGCAACATGCGGTATGACTGATTACCCCAAAAACGTAATTAACCATCATTCATGATATAATTTTTTATAAACAACTTTAAATTTGTGAAAATTGGCTAGTAAAGGCGAGAATTCTTCTCTTATTATAATCTTTTAAATAAGCTTACTATTATTTCGATTGAAAAACCCAAAAGCCTTTTTATGAATAGCATATTATTTGTCTCCATAAAAGGGGCTTAACTATCCTTGTCTTTTTTTTTTGGTCTTTGGCTCGTTTTGACATTTTGTAAACATGCCTTCTGCGAATTGTTGTTGTGTCTTATCAATTAACGTTGCTCTCTACTGTTATTCTTGTCATCGTGATGAAGTAATAATAATACAAGTGCAGAGGAAATGCCAGAAACTTCCTCTAATACGGAACGTCTGGAATAAGTATGGTATCGACGTAGACCCAAATTTAATGTAAAAAAAAACCATGAACATGAACAAGGGAACAGTACCAGTTTTAACATTGTAAATAAAGGTTATCGTAAATATTGCCCGGTTTGGAAGAAGTTATTGTATTTTCATTGAAATTGAAATTACAAAATCACAGGAACAATATTCATGATATTAATTAGAATCATACTTGTAAGTACAGTGAAATATACCCTTTTTTTATTTTTTGTTTTTATTGTAAACGAATGGCCCACTCATTTGACAACATGGCCCATTAATTCTAAAAATGGCCCATTGAATTTATTTTTGGGGGGTCCTGGGCCCATAGAGAAAAAATCCTTCCAGATCACTGCATTGGAACTATTGTCTTAAAGGAGAAAATGTTGCCATATATATAAATATTTGCGCCATGACAGCTATCATGATGAAATATATAAATTTTTTTTTTTCATCATTACAAATTTATGGCCGATTTTGGGTATATACCCATAAATGAGGATAGTACCCATCTATGAGGATCCTCCCTGACCTGATAATTATTTGGACTAACACTTATAGAGACAAAAGGATAATCCTTTACTAAGAACATGATTTACACTCATTCTACTTATACCTGTAGTAGAATATAGCTCTCAACCAATGAAATTGTAGGATTTGGTGTTTCTTAATTGTGAAGAATGAATGAAATTAAGTGCTCGGGGCTCTCAATTTAATTATAGGTTAGATAATACTTGTCATGTTTTATAAATATTTAAAGCCCAAGGCATAGCTGAGGGTTTTAGATGTTCATAAAAAATGACCAAGTATTGTCTGATAAATTTAGAACATATGACACACCTTCGAGTGATATAACAAAATTAGCCTCTCATTGTAATAATCAAATTTTGATATTTAAGCTCACTTTAAATGTAACCATGGTTAGTAAAAGAGGTGTAAATAATTTGGTCATTTCCACTTATGGAATGAAAGAGCAATGTAATAGTTTTGTGATAACAAAAAAGGATAAATTATTCCAAAATTTAGATTTCTTCTGCCTCTGGTATAATTTAATCTTATATAGAATTCCTACATTTTAAAAAGCAACACAATGTTATATAAATCAGCTTTTTCTAAAATTGTATAATTTTTGATAATGAAAAAACTTCATCAATGAATTTTAATTAACAATGGTTTCAGCATCAGATGCTTGCTTTTTTATGTATTTTACCATCACCTTTGCCATGTTTGCCTCCTTTTCAATTCTTATTTTTTTTGGGGGGGGGGTTTATATTTGTACTATTAAATGTAAATGTTAAAATCTCAACTTAAAATGCTTTATAGTTCTAATCTCCTTATTTCATTTATAATAATTAGACGAACAACAGTCATGACAGTACTCATGTTCTTTTTCTTTTGCTCTTTTCCTTTGGAAATTGCCTCAGGGGAATGTACACTTCTTTAGTGCAGTTTTTAAAGTTCACTTTCATAATTAATCTACAATGAAAATGTATAGCATTTTATAGTTCATGGAAAGCCATGAACTATGAAAAATAGAATAGAAAGTACTGATTTTCCATTGGACGAGAATGGTTGAGTAAGTGTATGTTCTAAACCTTTTCTCAGAACATACTCACCCCTTCTCGTCCAATGAAAAGTCAGTTTTTTTCCCTTCTAATTTTCATTAGAATATAGCAAAGTGCTCTCGACCAATGAAATTGTAGGACTTGATGTTTCTTAATTGTGAAGAATGAATGTAAATCATTGTTCTTAGTAAGGGATTATCCTATTATTTAGGTCTATTTACAGTTCAAAACAAAGAGTTTCTATAAATGAGTTACAACTGCCCTGAAGCACATTTTGAGATTGAAAGGATTTATCACACAGTGATTGAAACTGACTAAAAGTTGATTTGTGAAACAAACAAAAGAATCAAAATAAGTTGAAATTTACTGGTGCAGTAAAATTGGTACCTTTAATTTCATTATGAAAATATTAATAACTTCAAATTACTAAAAAATTGAATAATATCAAAGCAATGCAAAAACAAAAAGAAAAAAAAATTTAAATAAAAAATAACCTAAATCTTTAGTTTTCCCAAATTCTGAATACTGGACCAGCGGTTGTGAAGAAAAGTTATTTCCAATATTCCGATAAAATAAAACAAAAAAAAAACAGGGATTTAATTTAAATTTTGAATATGTTTAATACTTTTAAAGGCATTTTATTTGAACATTCCCCTGACTGAATGAAATAGTATTTGATTTAAAAAGCCGAACCAAAATATTGCCTGTGAAATAAAATTAGTTGTAACTCAAAAGTATTTATTGATTTAAACTGAAAATAAACAAAGGATAATTCCTCACTAAAACATTACATGATTTACAGTCATACTCACAATCAGGAAACATATACAATTCCTACTTTTTCTTTGTACTGTTGTGTGACCTAATGCCTATAACTCATTTTTTTTATATTTCCCAAATAATAAGAAAGTCCTTACATCACTAAAACTAATCCATTAATGAAATGCCGAAAAAGGAAGTCATGCATCAATTATAAACATTGCAATGACAATGAAACTAATTCTTGAATACAACCCATCAAGAGATCATTTGAGCCTTGAGCACTTTACAATATTCTAAGTTTGTAAGAGTATGATAATCCCTTACTTCATGATAAGTACTTGCTAATGCTCGTACTTAATCATGAAGAAAGGGATTATCATTCTCTTAGTATATGTAAGAGAATGATAATCCCTTTCTTCATGAATAAGTACGAGCGTTAGCGAGTACTTATCATGAAGTAAGGGATTATCATTCTCTTACAAACTTAGAATATTGTAAAGTGCTCAAGGCTCAAATGATCTACTAGTATTCAAGAATTAGTTTCATTGTCAGTGCAATGTTTATAATTGATGCATGACTTCCTTTTTCGGCATGTCATTTATGGATAAGTTTTAGTGGTGTGAGGATTTTCTTATCATTTGGGAAATATTTTTATAAAAAATGCGTTATAGATATTAGGTGACACAACAGTAGAAAGAAAAGGTAGGAATTGTATGTTTCCTGATTGTGAGTATGAATGTAAATCATGTAATATTTTAGTGAGGAATTATCCTTTTTTATTTACAGTTTAAATCAGTTAATACATTTGAGTTACAACTAAATTTTATTTCACAGCCAATAATTTAGTCCGGCTTTTTACATCAAATACTGTTTCATTTTGTCAGGGAAATGTTCAAAAATAATGCCCTTAAAAGTTTTTAATACTGTTTCATTATGTCAGGGAAATGTTCAAAAATATTGCCTTTAAAAGTTTTTAATATGTTCAAAATTAAATTCCTGTTTTTTTATCGGAATACATGTATTGGAAATAACTATTCTCCCCAACCGCTGATCAAGTAATCAAAGTTTTGGAAAGCTAAAGATTTAGGTTATTTTTTATCTGAAAGATTTAAAAAAAAAAATTTTTTTGCATTGCTTTGGTATTGTTTAATTTTAGAGTAATTTGAAGTTATTAATATTTTCATAATAAAATTCACGGAACCAATTTTACCGCACCAGTAAACTTCAACTTATTTTGAGATTTTTGTTTGTTTCACAATTCAACTTTTAGTCAGTTTCAATTACTGTGTGATAAATCCTTTCAATCTGATAAATGTGCTTCGGGGCAGTTGTAACTCATTTATAGAAACTCTTTGTTTTGAACTGTTACAGTAAATAGACCTAAATAATAGGATAATCCCTTACTAAGAACATGATTTACATTCAGTCTTCACAATTAAGAGGCATCCAATTCTACAATTTCATTGGTCGAGAGTAC